AGGACACACCTTCGGATCACACCATCCATGCAAATCTTGAACAAGTATGGCTCATCCCAATAGAAATCCAAACTATCCCGTTTAAGCTTCTTCCTTTGGTTAGAAGAGAGCTCACACGGGATTATACCAATCACAAAGAAATTAGCAACGTCCGCAAACCATGGAATACCATTCACCGACACCGAAAGGAGTTGTTCGTCGGGAAATGGATCATTGGTCTCTAGGCCATCACGAGTCCTCCCCTCCTCCTCCAAGAGGGACAAGGGGTCCGACACTTGGTTTTCACTACCCTTCCGGTCCATAATCTCCAAATCAAACTCTTGAAGTAACAAGACCGATTGCATCAGTCTAGCTTTGGAATCCTTCTTCATCATCAAGTACCGGAGTGCGGCATGATCGATATGAACTATGACCTTGGCACCCATGAGATACGGCCGAAATTTCTCCATCACGAACACAATAGCCAAAAGCTCTTTCTCAATTACCGTATAGTTCACTTGAGCATCATTCATTGTCTTGCTCGCATAGTACATCGGATGAAACATTTTGTTTAATCTTTGACCCAAAACCTCCCCAACCGCAACATCGCTCGCATCACACATGAGCTCAAAAGGCAAGCTCCAACTGGGTACAGTAATAATAGGAGTGGTGTTCAACTTGTGCTTGAGAAGTTCAAAGGCTTGCATACATCTTTCATCGAACACGAACTTGGCATGTTTTTCCAATAACTTGCATAAGGGATTCACTACCTTTGAAAAGTCTTTGATAAATCTTTGGTAGAACCCCGCATGCCTAAGAAAACTTCTAACTCCCTTGACAGAGGTAGGGGAAGGAGCCTTGAAATCACATCAATTTTTGCTTTGTCCACCTCTATACCATGCTTTGAAATTTCATGCCCAAGAACTATGCCCTCTTCCACCATGAAGTGGCATTTCTCCCAATTAAGAACAAGATTGGTTTCTTCACAACGGGCCAACACTCTATCAAGATTTTTCAAACATTCCTCAAATGAATCACCCACAACACTAAAGTCATCCATGAAGGCCTCCACAATATCTTCCACCATATCGGTAAAAATGACCATCATACACGCTGAAATGTAGCCGGTGCATTACACAACCCAAAAGGCATCCGAGAAAAGGCAAAGGTGTCATATGGACAAGTGAATGTGGTCTTCTCTTGATCTTTCGGAGCAATCAAGATTTGGTTGTATCCGGAATACCCATCCAAGAAATAGAAGAAGGCACGCCCAGCAAGTCGATCTAACATCTGATCAAGAAAAGGCAATGGAAAGTGATACTTGCGGGTCACTTTATTCAACTTGCGGTAGTCCATGCATACCCTCCAACCGGTGACGGTCCTGGCAGGAATCAACTCATTTTGCGAATTTGCAACCACGATCATGCCACCCTTCTTCGGCACACATTGCATCGGTGAAGTCCAAGAGCTATTAGAGATGGGGTACACAACCCCGGCATCTAACCACTTGATCACCTCCTTTTTCACAACTTCTTGCATTACCTCGTTCAACCTCCTTTAATGTTCCAATGAGGGCTTTGCATCATCTTCCAGAATAATCTTGTGCATACAAAATGCGGGGCTTATTCCCCGAATATCAGCTAAGGTCCATCCAATTGCCTTCTTTCGCTTTTGAAGCACTGCCAATGTGGCATCAACCTGCATGTTAGTAAGACAAGAAGAAAGAATAACTAGCAAAGTTGAACTAGGGCCTAAGAACTCATACTTGAGAGGTATGGAGGCAACGACCTCAACTCCAACACCGGAGGTTCCTCAATTGAAAGTTTTGTTGGTGGAGTCCTCCTATTCTCAAGATCCAAAGAGGGTTTCCTAGGCTCATAAGAGTAAGAGCCCATTCCATGTAAAGCATTCACGCACTCCACTTGGCCTTCATCCTCATTTACATCAAGATTCAATAACACGGCCTCTAGAGGGTCTTCCAAATTGATCATTGCACTGGTATCATCAACTATCACTGTTGTGACAAGGTCCACAAAAGAGCACACCTAACAACTGTTGGGCTGCTTCATTGACTTGCACACATAAAAGACCACTTTCTCATCACCCACCCGGAAGGTGAGTTCCCCTACTTCCACATCAACTAAGGCCTTCCCAATAGCAAGGGAAGATTTGCCTAATATGATTGGAACTTCATAATCTACCTCACAGTCCAAGATCACAAAATCAGCTGGCAAGATAAATTTGTCCACCCGAACAAGAACATCATCAATAATACCCAATGGTCTCTTCATAGTTCTATCCGCCATTTGCAATCTCATGAAAGTCGGCCTCGGTTGCCCAATACCCAAAGTCTTGAAAACTGAGTAGGGCATCAAGTTGATACTTGCCCCTAAATCACATAGAGCTTTTGCAAAGTTCGCACTCTTAATGGTGCAAGGAATGGTGAAAGTACCGAGATCTTCAAGCTTCGGGGCCACTGAGTGCACTATTGCACTAACTTGGTGGGTCATCTTGATAGTTTCACAATCCATGGATCTTTTCTTTGTCACCAAGTCCTTCATGAATTTAGCATAGCCCGGCATTTGTTCTAGAGCCTCCACCAAAGGCACATTAATGGATAATTTCTTCATCATGTCAATAAACTTTTTAAACTGATTCTCATTTTTCTGCTTCGCGAGCCTTTGAGGATAAGGTGGAGGTGGCCTTGGCAAAGGAGCCTTGGCTTTAGGCATAACCATTTCCGGCATGTCTATTACGTGTTCCCTAGACGGGTTCACATCATTCTGAGTCTCCGCCTCGGCATCTTGAATATCAATCCTTACTTCTTCAATCACGTTCTCATCAATCACATTTTCAACCACCAAAGGAATTTCATCATCTTGCAACTCAACTTCATCACTCAAAATTGCTTTTTGCTTGGAGGCATTCACATCACCTTCTTGTCCACTTCTTGTAGTTACCACCATCACATGATTGTTCCCACCCTTCAGGTTAACTACCGTATCACTTGGTAGTGCCCCCTTAGGGCGAGTATTCAAGGATTGTGAGATTTGGCCTAATTGAACCTCTAAGTTTCTGATTGAAGTATTGTAGGAAGCCAACTGAGCATCAGAGTCTATATTCTTTTTCATCATTTGTTCAAACAACATTTCAATTCTCCCCATTTTGTTGTTGGAAGAACTAGGACCTTGGGATGGAAATGGGGGTGGATTATTCGGTTGTTAGTACATTTGGGGCCTTTGAAAGCCTTGCCCCCGATTTCCTTGATTGCCATTATTTCAACCTCCCTGATTGTTGTTGCCATTCCAATTACCTTGGTTGTTCTGATTATTATTCTGATTGCCCCAATTGGAATTTTGGTTGTTGTTCCCCCAATTATTATTTCCTTGTTGTTGTTGATTGCCCCAATTGCCTTGGGGTCTCCATTGTTGTTAGTTGGAAGAATTGCCCCTTTGGCCTTGATAGTTGTTCACGTATTGCACCTCTTCATTCTGCCCATCATAACCATCATCTTGGAATCCACCACAATCATTGTCAAATTGATTTGAACTCTCTTGGTTTTGTTGACCTCTTTGTCTTCTTTTGTTCACTAGCATGTTGACACCCTCCATAGCATTTACTTGGCGCGGATTTTGAATCTGTTGTAACTGTGCCTTTGCTAACTGGTTCATTATTGTTGTAAACTCTGCTATAGCCTGCCCATGATCATGTAGCTCTTTGTGCAAGTGAGTGACCGTGGGGTCACACTGTGGCACATTGGCTCTACTTTGCCAAGCGGGGGACGTGTCAGCCATCTTGTCAAGAATGTCACAAGCCTCATCATACGACAGCTTCATGAAATTTCCCCAGCAAGTTGGTTCACTATGCACTGGTTTATTGTGTTAATGCCTCGGTAGAAAGTCTGTTGGATCATGCCTCAGTCATATCATTGTTGGGGCATTCCTTTACCATAGTTCTATATCGCTCCATATCTCATGTAATGGTTCGATGGGCTCCTGCTTGAAGGCTATGATCTCATTTCTCAATGCTGCCATGTGCCCCGATGAGAAAAACTTTGCAATGAACTTATATGCCAACTCATCCCAAGTTGTGATGGAATGGTTGAGAAGTCGCTCAAGCCAATCCAATGCCTTCCCTCTAAGTGAGAAAGGGAATAATCTCAACTGAAGTGCATCCTCGGACACATTCATTTGCTTGCTCCCTCAACAGGTATCCACGAAACTCTTGAGATGTTTGTAAGCATTCTGATTGGCAGCGCCCGTAAAATACCCACGCTGCTCCAGCAATGTCAACATCACATTGGTAATTTGAAAATTGCCCGCCCGGATCCAGGGTGGGACAATTGCACTTGCATATCCTTGGTTGGGAAGCACTCGAGGAGCCACTCTTGGAGATGGCGGGGGAGGGTCTGGAATATTATTATTGGCCTGGTGGCCTCTCCTTTGGCCTTGAGGTACAATAGGAACCTCATCATCAACATTGTCATCTACCTCCTCCCCTAGCGAAAGATCTCCAAGAAGTGCGTTGTTTGCTGCCATTTTGTACCTAAAGTTGTGACACACACAAATTAGTAACACAGAAGGAAAGAAGAACAATACACAAAACTATTTTCCAGTTGCTTCTAAAATTTCCCTCAGATATAAATTGTTCTACATTAAGTTTGCCTGGATCCCTGTATGTATAGTTGGAATCCTATTGAGTAATGAACTGATCCACCTTCGAGCACTTCCACACATATGCTTATTAGTTTTATGCTTGCACCAGATGTGCACATCATTGAAGCAATCAGTTTTGTTGTTGATTGTGTGTGCGATACAGTGATAACATATGCCTATCATTATGTGCCTCTCTTCATATGATGTTGAAATATTGATCTGCACTTTGATATCACCTCTAAGCACCTCAACTCCTTTTGTATGTACTTTCCAATAGAATCTGCATAAAGTATATGACAGCAGAGTATTCTTCCAAAATTCTATGCTTTTGCCTACCATTAACTTTCTCCCAGTGGAATGAGTGCATTGCACTAATACCACCAACTGAGATTCCATCAAATAGTAGGGCATAGGGACAGTAACTTTTCCTGCAAAAAAGAAAACACTATTAGTAAAAAATCTCATCACCATGTCCTCCTCCAAAAGGAGTTGGGCATGGTGATCACTTGTGTAAGCTCCAGTTGTCTTCTCTTCTATACTTCTCTCCTCCATATGGATTTGAGCAACGAATGTGTTCCTAGAAATCCTTCTGCTCCAGTTGTGTGTTGTTGTATTTATTGTATGACACCATCCTTTGAGTGTATTAAGATGTTTTCCCAATATCTTCATCAATCGTTGATGACAGAAAAAGGAAGGCCATGTACCAAAAATCTGGGCAGCTTTCTCTTATATCTCCAGTGATGCAAATTCCTTATTAGATCAGATGTTCGAGACATAAAATTCCAAACCCAAACTGCCTTCCATAGACCACTGGAGACTCTCCATGCATTCCTTCTTGTGCTCACCACTGACCTCACTACATGGGAATGAGCACATAGTGCTAATACCACCCATAGAAGTTCAGTCAGTTGGTGAGACATGTTTACAGTACTGATCCCTGCAAAAAAGAACACGATGTTAGTAAAAAAATAGTGCATTTTGATCTCTTCCCTGCAGATTTGATCACAGTATTCCCATTGATCTCCTTCTTTCCCTTTGACATCCATTTGATTCTCCGCTAATTCTTGGCAACCTTCACCCTCAAATAAGGATATTGCAGTTTATCTAAGTTCACAATCCTTCTAGCTAGTGAGTCAAGTTGTGCAAAGCCATGAGCCTCGATATCTCCATTATCCAAAGCATGATTAGCCAAGTGATCTGCTAGACTATTGTCTTCCCTCAGAATATGTGAAATTCGAATATTGCATTCCTCCATCAGCATTTTAATTGAAAACTTTGTGTGTGTGTGTGTGTGTATTGTGTGTGTGTGTGTTTGAATTGTGCTTAAGGTAGTTTGGCAGAGAAGAGACTTATATAGCAGCTATAGAACTTGAAAACTTTAAGGTGAAGCTTTTTGAAGATTAGGTTCAGAGGCAAATGACTCTTTGTTGTATGTTGGTTAGGCAGAACTTATTACATGCAGCACTCTTTCGAACTGAATATTCGAAGCTAAATGTATTTGTCAATTAGCTACATTAAACAATAGATACACAATTAACACCGCAAGAATTCATATCTTTCTAATCTATTTGTGTCAATCAGTTCTCTTCCTTTGTTAACTTATATTGTGTTTGGTTTTCAGAATCTGAAAAATATTTGAATAGTCATGAATCAAGAAGGGTGCTCAAGCAAAAATAAGAAAATATCCAACCGCATTCCAGCTGGATCACTTGCATCTTTGCGAAATCAAAGGGTTTCGTCGTTGACAACACAAAGAACCTTCCAAGCTACAAGGTCTAATACAAATGAAGAACGACAATCAGAAGGTGGATTACCTTCATCTTTGCGAAACCAAAAGGTTTCGTCGTTGACTACAAAAACAGTCTTGAAAGTTATAAGGTCAAATGCAAATGAAGAACAACAATCCGAAGGTGGATCTCAATTGCAAGAACAAGTGCAACAAGTGCCACAGAATTGCACCTCTTCAGCAACACAAGGAGTACATGAACAAGTGCAACAAAAGAATATGGATTCCATCACTCCTGCGTCACAGGGAGTATATGAACGATCTAATGATTCTACCAATCATGAAGCAATTGAATAATTTGAGGAACAAGACAAATATATATAAATTTTAATCATAAACTTAACTAAATATAGTGATTAATGATTATCTTTGTTTTGTACTATTGCAGGCCCCTCCTTGCCAAAAAGAAAAAGAGGTCGTACTCAAATGCCAAGTGCTCATGTTAGAAATGAGCGTAAAATAATCACTCTAAATGAGTTTAATTAATCTGTTGGTCCTACTAAAGAGGTTGTAAAAGAGTTGGGTAGCTTCCTCGGCACATTGGCAAGGAGTGAGACTTTTTGTCCTCTTAATGTATTTAATTGGAGAAAACTAGACACAAAAGATGATATGTGGAAATATATCAAGGTATGAAGTTGCCAATGTCCAATAAACATGATGATATTTCTTATTTCTTACACTAACCAAATTGCACTAAATTTGTAGAAAAAATATGACATTCCTGATGGGGCGAAAAAATGGATTTTTGAATCAGTTGGTAGTGTTTGGAGAAAGTATAAGAGTCAATTGAAGACAACTCACTTTACAGCCTATGAGAATGATGAGCTTCAAATGGAGAATAGGCTAGTAGATGTTCCGGAATCTCACTTTAAGGATCTTCTTAACTATTGGAACTCCGATCCTCACAAGGTAATTACATCCAGAATCTCTTGTCTAGTCTTCAGTGAGTGAACCATAACAGCACTGTTATTATGAGTACATACTGGAAACATTTTGAGTGGACTATTATCTAATGAGGGGGAAATGTAAGATGATGTTGCAGTATGCATCTTCTTTTCTTGATCTGTTATTCTGCAATTACATATTTTGTTGGAGTTGGTTTGTCAGTTGGAAAGAAATTCAATCGAAGCTTGATTGGTTTGTTCTAGGAAAAGACACTTTGCAACTCAAGATCATGGTAGAAGAAGCTCTCTCCCAGTAGTATACATTTGTGCCCTGCTCGTGTTCTCAATCGATTCATGAGAACTCCAAACACTTCTTGAAAAACCTGTTATGGCCAAATGTAGGAACTGAGCGAGGCCAAATCATGTAGAAAACATTCCAAATAGGTTGTTATACTCTGTTTAGGAAGAAAACCTAGAATTCTAAGAAACTCTTGACAATAATCATAATAATGTCCTTGTTTCATGCCTCTGTTTCAAGAGTACTTGAGGAATTAAAGTTCTAATTCTGCAAATATTACTATCTGTCACACAGTAATATAGCATCACAGTTGTCATATCTTTTCACATGTTTCAGTATCTAATGTGCAAGTCTAATATGTCTATTTAGTCCAATGTTTAATCAATAAGTGTAATATTCTATAATTAGATAACTAATCTCCCCTTAACATTCATTTAAGTGCATGGTATTGGGATGAATATATCTAAGCTATTCAGATGTATTCACTTCAACAGCTACTACCAAGTCCTTTAATCAAAGAAGTTATAGAGATGAATTTGTAACTACCTGACTTTCAACCTTTTTTTCTAAAGAAGTGACAGCACTTAATCAAGCAAACTTTAATACTATGAGTCTATCTTGGGTCATGATGTGGGTAATAGGCATAACTGTTGGTTGCTATTTGGTTGACTCGTTTATTTGCAGAAAATATCCGAAACCAATACAGAGAATCGAAATAAGTTGAAGTGTCCACACACTGCTGGCAGAACACCTTTTGCTCTAATTCGCGAGGTTTGATGTTTTATCTTTCTTATTTTTTTTAAAATTATGAACTTGCTAACTTTATATGGAAAGATTCTTATACTTGTTTTCATGTAACTAGGAGAAAAAGAAGGAAATCTCTAATACTTCAGATACTATATCAAGTAAGGACATCTTTGTGGCTACAAGAAAAGAAAACTTGGCCGAGTATACAAAAGCTCATATGACAATATGATTAGTAAAATTGTACGAAATTTCTAATTTAAAGTTTGTCGTGCTTATTTATTTGTTCTTAATTATTGATTCGACTTTAGTTACTTAAAACTCTTTTTTCTCGCATTTGGTTTGTTGGCTGAAATAAAGATGGCGATCATTCAATTGACGTTTTTGCATCAGTCATGGGACCTAAACATCCAGGTCGCATGAGATTGTATGGACGAGGGGTTACCAAGATTGTGTTAAAAGGGCAAAAAGGGAATCTTGGATCTTCTGATGAGAGGATGCAGCAGAAAATGGAGGAAATTGAAGAGAGGATGCAACAAAGAATACATGAAAAGTTGAACGAACAAAAGGATGCTATGGAAGAAAATATTACAATGAAATCGGACGACTTCAGCGTTTGAACCCAGATTTGCGACTTGTCCTGACATGTTAAGGTTTAGTGCACGTTCACCTGTAGAAGCTTCCTCTGCACAACAAGCTGCTATTCAACTAAACAGTCGGCCATCTGCTGGTAGTAACAATCAAGGTCAGTACGTACCAAATGTTATACATCTTCTATTTCTTCTTCTCCTCCTTCCTTGCTTGGGATTTTGCTTTGGTTCAAGGCAGGGTGGATATGGTAATATCCTTTTTTCTTCCTATAAATGTGGCTATTTCGGCTTTGCCTATTTGCTCTTAATTAAAATTCAAATTGTTAAGCTTAAAATATATACCTTAGGGCCCCTAGGACCATTTCTCCGCAAAGGTGTTGAAGTGGTGTCACAATTAGCAGATCCAGCATTTGGACATGTAAGAATTAGAGCAACATTTATTAGACTGAAGTCGCTTTTAATTATTGTCATTGCTGGTACTAAGACGAGTGGAAGGTGTCTCTAATGAATGTGTACAATTAGACGATGTTAAAGAAGCAAATGAATACATGTTTTGGTCAGAATAATTTTCATCAAAGGGAGTTGTCTAATACAGTGGTTGTTCAGTCCATTTTGTAAGTCTCGAGATCCCACTTATTTTGCTCCTCATTCTTTGGTTTTTTCCTTCGAGTTGTCAAAGCTGAAATTTCCAAGTCAACAAACATCTTAAAGGGATTAGATGTAAATGTATGGTGAAGAAAAAGAGCAAGAAGAGAGTATGCTCAAATACAGAAATAACTGTTTATTCTCTGCTTCTTTCCTTGCATCAGTCTTGAATATCTTATATCAAATTAATATTAGTGCAAGAATTGAGAATGATGGTTGTAGCTTCTTGGTCTGCTTTATTCATTTTCTATCAGTTTCTGATCTTTAATTCAGTTCAAGCTCAAAATCAATCCCGAGATAGCTGCCCCGGGGAATTCCAATGTGGGATCCTTGGAAGTGTGAGGTTTCCTTTTTCTATATCCTCACAACTTGCTTATGGATGGTACACTATTGATTGTGATGCTAAACCAAATCCAAGAATTCATTTGGAAGGAAATGTTTTCACTGCTTTGGAACAACGGTCATATGATGATAGTTTTCGACTTTTTGATCTTAGGTTTAATGATTTATTGGCAAGAAATAGTTGCAGTTCTTTCGATAAAAGTTTATCTTTTCCAAGTCCTCCTTCTATCTCGTTTAGAACCAACGAACGCAATCTTACCTTGTTCATATATAACATTAGTATGCTACAACCTTCTTTTGTAATAAACATGTGAGATCTTAAGGAAAATATTCCATCAGAGTAATTTCTTACACTGTCGTTTTTGTCGAATACACCAGACTCCCAATGGTTTCTCTTTATTTTGCTGAACAAATTCTGATCTTTGTGACTCTTATGGCTTTCTTTTGGTCTGTTTAATGTTCTTCAGCAGACTGTGAACTATACATCTGGGGACCTATAGAATAGTGTGTCTTGTGGTGACATTGAAGTTGAAAGGGTTTGAGTTGGAATTACTTTTGTTCATATCCGTAGGAGTCAAAATGGCTTGAACAAGAATCCATCCTGCAAAGATTGTCCAGATCCTTAAAATAAGTGGTACCTTTGGATCAACTACTTGAAACTCTGTATTGATACAATCATTTCGTAAACCTTTTTTTTCATGGCAATTAATAACTTTATTTATCCTCTTTTGTAGGTGGAGTAGATCAAGAAATGGATGATGAAGACGATGAAGAACTAAACCTTACTTGAGATGAATTTTGATTTGTTATAGATGAATGTTCTAGGAATCTTTTGTTGCCAACATTTTTTGAAACTTATTTACCCTCTTAAAATGTACTAAACTTATGCACTCATGGGGTAGAACATTTGCTTTATGGATATTATTTGCTTGATGGATAATTTTATATTATTACTAGTTTCATTTTATGATGTATTTAAATTTTAGTGTTATTATAATTTATTATGTGTATAAATATTTATTTATAACAGGTGCTATATTTTGGTTTTAACTGAACTGATACAATAGCCTACCAGAACTGTTGCAATATGATACAAATGGCGTTCCAGTAAACAATATAAACCATTGCAATAGGTCCCATAAACTGTTCCAAAATGATCTACAAACCGTTCCAAATACAAATATAACCGTTACGATAGCTTAACGAAACCGTTGCTATATCCAACATAACCGTAGCAATAGCTTACATAAGTATTGCTTTAAATAATATGGCAACGATTCAGAACCATTGTATAAACAATATAGTAACAGTTTTAAACCGTTCCAATTAAAAAAATAATCGTTCCAACAGAGAAAGGGAAAACCGTTGCGATAGACGTATCTATTGTCACGGCGACGCAAACTGTTGCAAGAACCGTTCCAGTAGACCTATGGGTACGCCGGCTGATGTGACGCAGTGACAGTCTGTAAACTGTTACAAAATCCCTACGACAACAGTTTGACAATCTGCGGGGACGGTTTTGCAACCGTTACCGTAGACCAATTTTTCAGTAGTGATTGAGAAACCGGCTAATCAGCGAATCATGAGATTTTTACCTTTTTATAGAATTGTACCTAAAGTAGGATTCTCCTATTATATAAAGGGGGTCTAATTATTTGTAACACATATTGTAGCATCAATTCAGAAGCAATATACTGTTATTTTCTTTTAAGTTCTATTTCAAATGTGTCTTGACACTAATCGAAGTGCCTTCTGCTAAAGAGTGACTCTTCCCCAAAGGCTGTTACAACGCAATTTGTGTGATTTGAATTTATTTTATTTTCAATTACAATTTAACTTGTTGCTTTGTATCAATTTAATCCATATATCCTTAAAATTATTTACAAATTCAATTGTTATCCGAATTGGAGGGTAAACAAAATCGAAGAACTAAACTGAGAGACCTAGCTGTGACTCTCTGAAAAGAGACTTCAAAAGTTGTTTTGACAAGAAAAAATTTCAACATATGCTTGCGGATTTGTGTCATGAGATTTTTGAATCACGTTTCTATGGTCAATTTTTTTTCTCAAATGAGTTCGGATTTTCTCACAAATTCATCGGTTTTTCCCTCCTTGTTTGTGATTATTATTTGACCAGTTGAATCATCTGTTTCTTATGGGAATATGATGTGAAAATTTGATTTGAATATTAGATGGGAACTAAAATAGTTGTTCTTCCGCTTATCACACTATCACTATGTACATCTTGGGTATATGTGCTTTTGTCCATTAATTACGCTTCAATTCTAATTTTGTAATATATGAGCTATCATAATTTTTTCTGCGGTACCATTAATTTTGTGATTATGGAATTCTACAATGAGCAATTTCAATTTTTTTGGCAATACAAATGTCGCTTTCTAATTCCTATAATGTTATACTTTTGCGTCACATCGTATAATAATACACACAGGTGAAACGTGAGACATGAAGTTGTCTTTTCCTCATTGAAATTTAATTTGTCTTCATTCTCATTCCAGAATTTATTTAAAATTTTAAAAGCTTACACATTACTTTTTTTCGTTAGTTTTTAAGTTCCTGAATAATGAATTCTCACAAGAAATAAGGTTTCTTGCAATGTGATACAAAATTATTGGCATTCGAGCTTTGTGAAACAGTGGACCCAATTACAATTTTTGTCACTTTCAGGAGAGACGATTATTTACTTTAAACAACTTTATATTTAGGGGAGCTAAGCTTTATACTCCCTCAGCCCGTCTCAAATTATTTGATTTTTAAAAAAAGTTGTCTAAAATTATATGTCATTTTAGAGGATCAAGAGTAAATTAATTTTTTTTATTCTATTCTTAATATTAATTATTTTTAAAGATTACAAATACCTTAATTATGAGTAAATATTAAATGAAAAGAGATTATATCTTAAGAAATAAATAAGGATAAAATAGTTAAAAATCTTTTCTATTTAATATTATCTTAAGTGGCTCGTAAAAGAGAAATACTAAAGATAATTTGAGACGAAATGAGTACACAACCAAGCTGTCTTTGCACTTGGCAGTACGTAATAGTTGGCACCTTAATTAACTAATTAATTGTTGTTGATGATTAATCATCAATCTTTCTTGATTTAACCAATAAATAAATTCCTCAAACCGGAAATAATTCGGACTATCCAAAGTCAAAAAGAAAAAAATAAATAAAAAAACAAAGAAAAATTGACCCATTGTTGTGTTGCTTTTCTTCAACTTCTTTGAATGAATAAAAAACCAATGCCGTTTCTCACCTTCCATCTTCTCTCTTTCTAGAATTCCACAACTGTCCTTTCTTCTCCAATTCTCTCTCTAGATCCCCAATCATACATATATATTGCGATATTTATCAATGGCGTCGACGGAACAGTTGGTGATGGGCGACGGCGGAGGAGGAGGAGGACCGCGGTACGTGCAGATGCAATCGGAGCCGGAGCCATCAACATT